ACTGGATGTTGCAAAATGGATTTATGTGCCAGGAGACTTATTATGACATAATCTACTGAAGATCCTTCCTCTTGCAAATTTATCCACTCAGACTGAACTTGATTAAAAAAATATTGAGTTATAATATGGCCCTTTTAAAAGCAAAATTACAATCCATTTTGACATATATAATAAAGATTTTACATAAAAATTCTCTAAAAGGAAACATAAGAAACAAATGTCAGTAGTCCCATAGTATTTCCTTTCCTATAGTTTCAATTGTTTCCTGACTGTAACTTAAAGATTTCTTTTTCAGTTATTATGTCACTTTCTTACATTCTGTTTATAAACACCAAAATAAGTTAACAATTTACCTTCATCATTTTCTTGGTTTCACGATTGAGAACCATCTCCAAAACAAACACATCGCCTGCAGTGGGTTGCTCAGGTGTTTCTTCCTCTTCCTCCTCTTCTTCCTCTTCCTCCTCATCATCTTCATTCTCTCCAAGCATGGAAGCAAAGACCTTGTGAACTGACTTACTCACTCCATCTGACGTTTCTCCTGAGAAAAGAGACATTGGTTGAAGTTGAAAAAAAAAATGAAAAACAGTATTTTCTGGAGTATAAATTTCTTTCCCCGTAACACCAAATTTGAAAGTAAAAAACACTAAATGAACACCCCCAAAAAACAACCCAAAGAGGGAAGCTGTCACAAAACCACATATTTTACTCTGTAGGAATGACTAAGTCATCCTTTAGGGCTCCTCTAGATACACAGGCAAAATTACCTGGAAAATCAGGGGTACCTACAGTAATAGTTGAAAGCAGAGAGGGGAAAAAAAAACAAAAAACAAAAAAATGAAAGAATTATAAGATGTAGACCTAAGAATTAAAGAAGCCTGGTGGTACAGAACCCAGGTGGTATAGTGGTATAGCCTCTGTTATATGTGAGGGCCCTAGAGCCAAGCTGCCTGGTTTCAAACTTTAGGTCCATCTATCACTAGTGGCATACACTTGGACAAATTACTGAAGCTCTCTATACCTCAGTTTCCTCATTTGTAAAAAGGGGTTAATAATAATGTCTGCCTTGTAGGGCTACTCTGAGAATGAAATGAGTGTCTATGTATATTTTTATATAGATATGCATGTTTAGAATAATGCCTAGCATATAGTGAAAGCACACAAAATGCTATTATTAGTATTAAAATAGAACAAAATAACATGACATAGTTCATTTGTATCTTAGAGGATACCACTACAGTACAATGAGTTTTGTATATTTATAATCATGACCTTGAATGATCATGAAAAGGTTAAGTACAGAAGCCAATTTTCTGTTAAACAAAGCAGAGACATTGCTATCGTTTGAATATTTTGTCTCCTCCAAAACTCATGTTTAAATTTAACCCCCAATGTGGCAGTATTGAAAAGTGGGGCCTTTAAGAGGAGAATGGATGAATGAATGAATTCATTCATAGGTTAATGGGTTAACAGGGGAGTGGGACTGGTGGCTTTACAGGAGGTTGAGAGACCTGAGCCAGCATGCTCAGCCCTCTTTGCAATGTGATACACTACACCACCTCAGGACTCTAGAGTCCCCACCAACAAGAAGGTCCTCACTACATGCGGTCCCTCAACCTTGGACTTCTTAGCCTCCCAAACTATAAGAAGTAACTTCTTTTTCCTTAAAAATTACCCAGCTTCAGGTATTCTGTTATAAACAACAGAAAACAGACTAAGATAGACATGTAACACATTTTAGAGAAGTTCCAACAAAATAGTTAACATTTTTAATACGTGTGTGTGTACTGTATTCAAAACCGTGGCCAGGTGCGGTGGCTCACGCCTGTAATCCTAGCACTTTGGGAGGCCAAGGCAGAAGGATCACTTGAAGTCAGGAGTTTGAAACCAGTATGAGCAAGAGTGAGACTGTCTCTATGAAAGCTAGAAAAATTAACCAGGTGTGGTGAGCACCTGTAGTCTCAGCTACTGGGGAGACTGAAGCAAGAGGATCGCTTGAGCCCCGAAGTGTGAGGTTGCAGTGAGCTATGATGATGCCACTGCACTCTAGCCTGGGCAACAAAGCGAGACTCTATCTCAAACACACACACACACCAAAAAATCCCCTTAAGCTTATTCACTTATATGAAATACTTCGAACCCCAAAGATGCTGGATAATTGAGATAATCAATGTTTAGCGAAGAACAGATTTAAGAAGCCACATGTTCTGATCAAGAAATATTTATTATGAAGTCCTAAGGATCATATTCAAGAATTTTGTACATCCAAAATAAAGATGAAATGTGTAAAATTTATCACATGAACAAAAGAGTTAGAAGAATCATATGATCCATCTTGATAGATAAAAAGTAACATTTTGTAAAATCCAACATCCATTTCTAATATTCTTAGTCAACTGAAAATGAAA